TCCCCCATCCAAAAGAAGGCACCCCCCCCCCGCCTGTAATTAAGCATGAAAAAGTATTGTGAAGATGACATCTCATTAAGGAAACACAGCTTTCTTTCCTCGGCCTGTGGTGACTGACTGAGAAGAGCTCACAGCTGCAGCAGGAGCCAAATACCACAGCTGTTTCCAGACTCCCCCCCTTTTCCACCGAACACCATTAAACTCTTCCAGAGTTGAATGTAATGTCAAACAGTTTCCCCAGGAGCCTGAGCTCAACGTACATCATTTTAATCCAGCACTTTGTGCCTCTCTCTTTTCTTTTTAAATTAGAAACTTCTCAGTTTTACTAGAGACCAGTGCAGAGAGCGACAACATGTTAGGAAACTAAGAGACCAACCAGAATATTCAGAGCTTTACGAGTGCTGACCCGGATGCTGATACCTTGGTGCTGGCCACTGACTGGAGCCTCAGTTTGGACTCGTCTTCATCAGCGCTCTCAGTGTACTCGCTGTTCAGGCCATCGTCAGCCTCGTCTTCATCCTCTGAGCTCATTTCTACAAGAAACAGATACAATTCATACTGTTAAAATAACTTTCTATCTGTCCTTTCCACAGTTCACCGGCTGCTCTGCTCAGTGTCCCACTGCTGACAGAGGAAGCATGTCTGGTCACACAGCTCCTCTGACCTCTGAGAGTGCCAAGTCATTTGTTACACTACATCCACTACACCACTGAGCTTTAGACCATGTACGAGTGTGTACATGTAACAGCTTGTGTTTCGCTGATGTGAAACATCTGAAACCACAATATGCGCACAGCAAGTTAAAGACACTCAGGTCTAATTATGGGATTGAATATAAAGCCTTCACAAGGGACAGAATGGATCCATAGGAACACAGGGATGGATTCACAAGGCCTGGGAAATGTTACTCATAACTGTGAGAAGGTAAATCCTGGTAAAGTGAAGGCAGGACTGCTTCTTATTATCATCACCAAGATCCTATTTAAACTTTATACACTTATATTTCATTTCTGAGGCGAGAACGAATTGGTTCACATGACTCCTGGGCTTTAGTCTCACAGATCTGTACGACAGTCACTGCACCACTGAGGACAGTGATGTCAGGTCCCTGCGGGTTCTGGGCTTCTACCCACCTGACACTAAGTTTACACTGCTCAGCTACAGACAACTTGTGGGTTTATAAAAGTTTATCTTCTTTAGTCACTTCTGTTTTTAAATGTCTCACAGTACACAACAAGTTTAACTAAAAAACTAAAACGGTAACAGCATACAAACTGTCCGTGCGTACACTGTGTGAAAACAGCCTCAGACAACTATATAAGGAGATTTAAAAACTGCATGAAATATAATTTAACCAACTGTTTTTATAATGTCAAGTCAAATATTTCTTAGGGAAATTTGGGCTCATAATCTCACAATACGCCTGATGTGGAGTGTTGTTGACACAGAGAAGAACTGGGGCTGTGTTCCTCTCAAACTGGACTCAAATAAACTGTTCATGGATCATGGAGCTGATGTGACAGTACAGGAGGAAAGAATGAAGACGTGGGCCAGTGTGCAAATACGCACAGTTACTTACGGAAACCTCCTGAAATCACAAATGCATCATCTTGTACAAGAATTGCAGGTTTATTTATTGAACTGCTTAACATGTTGGGCTCTGGAACTCAATTAGAAGGTAAACATTGGCTCAGGGAGTCTGTGCACACACAAACTTTAAATTCTTCAGTTTTATAGGAGGATTATTAAAAATAAAAACATCCAGACATACTTACTCTGCTCCAGTGTGACACTTGATTTTATAATCATCATTCATATTAAACCCCAGAGAAACAGAAGTGACAAAGTCAATCAGGAAGCAAAAATACATTTAACAAATCTGAGCATTTTTTCCATAAAAGCCAGATGTAAGCTAACACAGAAGGATAACGGACATGAACTATTAATGATTAATATAAAATGAATAACAAGAAACTGTGTTTATATTTTGTTCACGTGTTAAACTGTCAAACATTTTAGAGCATTAAGAAACAGGATCAATTATGCTGCTCATCATGCAAACGTGCACACACAGCTGTATATTATTACTAGCACACGTAAGTGAATAATCAAAACATTAGCACTATTTAACACACCGCTGCGCTGAGCGTCAGACCAAACACAAACTGTCCTGGGACACAGTCACACTAACTGCGCTAGAGATGAACAAAGCTGTCGAATAAAACATGTTTTCAGCTGTTTCCAGACTGGTTGTCGCTCAGGATGACGGAGGCTGACGAGCTCTGTTCCGAAATGACTTCAAACATCCACAGGTATCAGGACATGACTCGATTTTGTCTTTTGTCTGTATGTCTTATTTTATTGTGGATCACATCTTTCTGTCCTCTGGCACCGTCCAACTGAAGCAGCCTCACTGTGAGTTATGTAGGTCGACCCTTCCTTCTATAATGAACCAATCAAAATGAACCTAAAATTGAGATAACTAAAATAAATGTGGAATTGTTTTCAAACCTCTTCTGTCCCAGTCGAGTCCTGGTCTCTTCTGAAAGTGTTTGTTCTCTGTCAGAACTAGACTGAACCACATTTGCAGAGGTACATGCACAGTCAGGTGTGTCAGTGTCTTCTAGCCTTGTACAGCTGTTGTCACAGTGACACTGGGATCCTACAACATTTCACACTGAGGTAAACTCATCAAGCCTGGGAGACCGTACCCCATCCCAAATAAGGCTGTTTCCAGACTCCCCCCCTTTTCCACCACTGGTTACAGTAACAAAGGTCAGTGTTAGTGCTTTTACCCACAGCATTGCACAGGTTGGGTTTATGGTAAATTAGTGTGCAGAGCACTACCACCACAGCAAGCAAAGCTTGGATCCCCACACCACAGTCACAGCTGCTCGGGGAGCTGATGTTACAGATACTGTCCCATGCTTCTCTGATGCCCACCTCCAAACTCGGGCTGCCTGCTGTTGGGCCGGCCTCGGCCCAGGACAGGGTCTCTGGCTGGGAGATCTTCCTGCTGGACCAGCCTCTCCCTCAGCTCCTCGACCTCCTGTGTTAGACGCTCGACCAGCGGGATGCCCGAAGGGTCCACCATCTGTCTCTGGAGGTCCTGCAGTACACACCCACACAGAGAAGACCATGACATGCACACACACACAGATCACATATGTGTTTGCTACAGGACAGAAAGCTGCAGCTACAGTGAAACCATCAGAGCATTTTCATAAAAGAAGAGAAGGGGATTACATTTCGGCTATGTTGCTTCTGTCACCTCTTACATTAACAAACACCGTTCTCTGCGACTCATCAATATGTTGAATGGTCTTTGGAAGCCTGGAGTCTGCGAAAGTACTGCTACATGACGCTTCCTGTCAACTGTTGATCCATTAGAAGTGTGCATAGGATGTACTGTCCAGTATCTCCAGTTTGAACTTTTAAGGTAAACTGAAGTGTTTTACAGGTTGAGAAGATTCTCCTACTCCTTAGGCTAAATCAGCTGTTTCCGAGGCCACAGGACGATCTGAACATCGCGCCGCCACACAGCTGACACTGGGGCCGTTTGCCCAGATGATCTGGAGACTCACAGTCAGTGCAACAACAGTTCTTCTCCCTTCTCTGAGGCAGTAATACTCATGCACGTGGCCTAGTCTCACACTGCAGATTATTTAAAATTTTCCCTGTGATTCTAGCTTTATTTTATCAGACATGCAACTGTTGATACTGTTGATACAAGCCTAAACTGTTAGTGCATATTTATACACAGGGTGACATGATGGCGTACTGCAGAGCAGGTACGCTCTCTCGCTCCGGCTCACTGACCCTGATAGTCTCCTCCTTCACGTGCAGCACCCTGCTGAGGGAATCCAGCTGGGCCGCCTGACCCTTGTTCAGCTCCTGGCTCTCTGTCGCCCTCCTCAGAGCCAGACGCAGCTCCTCCTGCATCGCCTGTAGCTCCAGAGCTAAGTCTGGGGTGGAGTCAGTCCTCAGTCCGCAGCCTGAGCTCAGCTGTCTGCGGAGCTCCTGGAGCCTCGAAGTCTGCTCAGTCATCACCTCACCGAGCCGCCCCGCGGACTCCTGCAGGCAGATGGGTGTAAGTCTGTTTCTTTATGTGACACTTTAATGTTTCAGCTGAGTTGCTCTGCAGTACCTGAATGTACTGGTCACGGGTACTGATGGTTCTGAGCAGATCCTGGACCTGCTCCTGGTGCTCCTGGGCTTGACGTGCCCTGTCGGCAAGCACTTCCTGAAAGAGGCGGTCTTTGAGCTGGAGGCGGACCTTCAGCTCCTCCAGAACGTCGGCTGGAGCAGATCTGACCTGAGTAAGCAGGGAGCAGCGCAGGTCCTACAGGGGAGAGAAGAAGAAGAAACATGAACGCACATGGAGAACCACCTGTGTTTCCCAACGTTTACCTGGTCTGGCTTATATTTTGGTATTGTTAAACATGCGATGATGCAAAGAAACTGCCAAGTGATCTTCAGCCTGACAATAATCCTGTAAAGTAGCATCATTAGCTTCCTGCCTGTTCTTCAAACTTAACTAATCACATTCTCATCCAACTGGCTTGGTTCTTGGAGGAAAGTTAAAGGACTGGTTTATTAAGCAGATGTAACAAAGCTAACCATTAGCTGTAATTGGCTAATTGTTGATATCAGTACCACTGGCTAGCAGTTCTGAAGTGGACATACTTGAACCAGTCACACACACTTTCAACTGATGAGGATGCGAAGTCAAACAGACCCCTGGTGAGTGGGAGCTCAGTGGGACGATGTTCTAGGCCTGAAGAACTGAATACAACTGATATCCATGATGGTAAAGCTGTGTACCTGTGCCTCCTGTGTGCGAGCATGCAGTGCTGCCTGCAGCTGGCTGATGATACCATCTCTCTCTCGCAGGATGTGGCTGTGCCTGTCCTCGCTCTCCTGCTGCTGCCACTTGATGTTCCTCCAGGCATCACACACCTGCTCCAGCTCCAGAGCTTTACCTCGCACCAGCACCTCCAGGCTCTGGCGCACACACACAACCGACAATGAGGTGGTGGCACAACGAGTGTCACGATCAGCTGACAGACGTAACAGAAGAAAGGTGTGCTTTCTTACAGTGATGGTCTCTTCGTTGTTGGCCAGGACGCAGCGCTGTCTCTCCAGGTCTCGCTCCTTCTCTCTGAGCAGCAGCTGAAGCTGGCGAGTTTCCTCCTCTTTCTCCTCCACATGGCGGAACTTCTCGTCCACCGCTCGCTGAAGGGCGGTCGAACAAAGTGTCAGTCAACAAGCCTGGCATTTAGAGTTTTGGTTTGGCTCACACCACATTAATCCACTGAGGGTCTGGTGTTGATCTGAGCTTCTCCCCTGAGCTTTCTATTTCTACAGACAGCAGAAGCAGTCTGTGTCAGGGAACAGGAAATAATAAGTTAACTGGGAGACACAGACCAAAATAAATGAATAAAGAGACTTGAAAATTTTACTTTGTCTGAATCACTGCTTCTGTTGATTTTTTTATTCTTCTGTAAACAAAAATGTTTTGTTGATGTGACGTCTGAAGCTGAAAATACCAGCACAGGACTGAAACTGCATCTGACAGACAAAAAACACACCTCACAAGAACTCACAGGATGTGTAGATTACAAAGTGCTAGTGTGTGTGCATGTGTTGTTGTTGTTTCATGTTTAGGTGTGTGTGCCATTTACCTCCAGAGCTCGATCTCTCTCCTTAATACGCTGCCGGAGTTTCTGAACCAGAGGGTCCCTCTTCTCCTTTGGACCATCGGACAACTCGCAGCAGTCCTGGTGGAGGGAGACAGAGTGTGTGTGTGTGTGTGTGTCTGCGTGTTTGTGTGTCTACACAGTGGAACAAGTAACTGGGGCAACATCCACATCTGGTCGAAGGCAGACAGAGGATGGATCTCAGCTGAGACGAGCCAACACAGCACTGACACAGTAGTTTATATAAATGCTTGCTGTACTGGCGTGTGGGGGTGTTTCCAGGTGTGTGTCTGACCTGCACTAGCTGTTCTTTAGTCTGCAGAGATGTCCTCAGTTCTCTGATGGTCCTCTCTCTCTCCTCCCTCTCCCTCTGTCTCTGTTGCTCGCCGTCTCTGAGCTGCTCCTCTCTCTCCTGCAGGGCCAGTCGAGCTCTCTCCAGAGCCAGCTGCAGCTCCTGAACAAAACACAAACACACGACAACATGAAGCACAACGATGCAAGGAGGGGCGTGACTCATTCAAATCAGTCAGTTACTGTGCTACTGTCACCTGGTTGTGTCTCTCTGTGTCCCTCCTGTGCTGCAGCGCCCCCTGCAGGTCTTTCTCCAGCCTCTGCAGGGCCCGGCCCAGGTCCTCCTGCGTTCTGAGTGCCTGCCGCTGTGTCCGCTGGCCGGCCTGCAGCTCCAGCTGGGACTGGAACAGAGAGGCCTGTAGAGCCAGAGCTTCACTCTGACCTCGAACGCTCTCTGCCCCAGAGAGCTGCAGATAAAACCAGGGAGAGAGAGACAGATGTGTAAAAGCTCAGTGAGGACAATGAGCTCCATTTAAAAACTCAGGACTGAACTATGCTATAACTATGCTAGTCATATAAACACATGATATTAGCCATGAGAAACAAAGAGCTGCTGGATGCTGTAAAGGAGCTTCACTCCTGTGCCAGGCAGGGTGAGCGTGGAGGACAAACCTGCAGCTGGCTGCAGCTGGCGAGCTCTTTGAGAGAACACAGCATCTTACGTTGCTCCTCAACCACTCGGTGCAGTTCTGCAGCCTGCACGCACACAAACATTCACGCATAAGCAACACTGAGTCTGAGACTGTGAGTCTCCTATTTTCACTTGACACTAAATGTCAGTCTTGTTCAGTCTTTTCCTCATGTTTCCATTTATGCCTTCTTCTCTCCAGCTCCTCCCTGCCCTCCTGTGTCCACCCCTCCTCTGTTGTCTAACCCTCCCTCCGTCACTACCTCGGCCTCCTTGGAGTTGACTGTATCAGAGGTGTTCTGAAGGTGTCGCTCCTGTCGCTGGGCTTCCTCTCGGGTTGACCGCAGCTCCAGCTCCATTTCACCAAGCTGCTCCTGCAGCTTCTACACACACACACACACACACACACACACACACAAATGATCGGGCACATAAATGACAGAAACACTGGAACATGCTGATTCCCCAGTTTTCCCACAAACTGCTCATTAATTTAAACCAGTTTTCTTCTTGTTCCAGAGCTTCAGGCAGACTCAGCTGATAAAGCCCAGGCCTGAAGGTGGGAGGGGTGGTGTGTATTCATACCTGGTTCCTGGTCTCGCTCTCTCTGATCTTGGCCTGCAGGGAGCAGACCTGGTCCTGGGCCTTCTGCAGCTCACTGACGCACTGACCTGCAGCACTCTCATACTGACTCAGCTGACCCTGCTGCTCGCCGATCAGCTGCTGAAAACCACAGGAGGACTCGGGTCAGTACAGGTGAGCAGGGGTAGCAGACAAATACAGAAGATCATGGCAGGCTACAGACATCGAAGCGGAAACACCACATGCGATAATCAGTTGACCATTTTAGTTGCAGAGGCTACACCAAACTGAAAATGTTTCACGTTGTTATACTGTTACATAGTTTAATGTGTAATGGTGTGATGTCGTTCAAACTGTAGGAACACGAAGATTAGTCCATGTCATTTGTTGCTGCAGATGGAGACGACACTGTGAGACAATACATTTTCACTACCAGATCACTTATATTAGCTTTCAAATATGAAGCAGGCTATTCTATAAAAGCTAGCTGGCACAGAAGGGAAAAGAGAGTGGAGAGCTGAGTGAAGTTCATGTTGCATTTAAACCCAGGTTAAACATTAACTATGTACAACATGTCTGAATGCAGACAAACCTTACACTTTTGGATGGTTTTACTAAACAGTTTAGAAATTATGGTAATAGTTTTAGCTTTTTCCTAAAAAGCTAAAAACAGAACAGACTGGAAACAAACAAACAGAAAAAGGAAAAGAAGAAGTAAAAGTCTGTCTCTGTGTTATGGAAAAAGGAAAAGAAGTAAAAGTCTGTCTCTGTGTTATACAGTTAATGTACATGAGCTGATGGGATAAACTGCATAATCTTCAGAAAGTCAGCCACAAAGTCAGCTCTGCAACGAGGCTGGAAACTCTGCGGGTTTGTGCCTGGTGACATCTCTAGTCAGTGATCTGGCCTGTAACGTCTGAAGGTGGCAGACGTCCAGGACCAAACCCCCCTGTGCAATGGCTGCCAGCTGGAGGTCTAAATAGTCCACTGTATGGATGTGGGGAGTGTAACAGTGTCCCTCCATAACAGCCACAGGTCCACCGAGCAGCCTGGTACACTGCTGTATAACAGACTGACACAAACTGTACTGGACAGACTCTGACTTGTCTGTGTTGGCTCTGCTCCTACACACTGGGCCTCATTCACACTAATCATTAACACAACAATAGCAGTTATGAAGCTGGATCAGACTGAGCCTGCACATGGGCTAACTGCTGCATCGCTTGGAGACCGTTCCCATGACGATGACAAGGTTGCTAGGATACTGACAAGAAGGGGTATCTATGCTCCCTGAGAGGGCAATCAAGGCAGCGAGTGTGTTCGTCTTTGTTAAAGAGATAAGACAGGAAATCCAGAGCTCTGAGCTCATTCAGCCTGGACAGCAGCCACATAAAGCTGCTTCTACAGACATGATGCTGAGCCTACATCACGCTTGTGCTCCAAATTCAAGATCTGTGCCTCAGGTTTCACTGATTACCACTAAAAATTACAGGACCTAGGCTTTAAACTGCTCTACTGTCCCAACACACACATCCTACTATCTGAATTACCACTTTGAGTGAGTCTGAACTGCTGCTAACTTCTGAGATATTAGCAACGACCCAGAGGCCCTGAACAAAGCTAGTCCTGTTTCCAGCTGTGAGAGGAGACCGTCAGCTGTTCTATACCGTTCACAGCTCAGGATACATAGGTCATCCTATGTTGAGTTACTGCGGCTGGTGAAGTACCTGCTGAAAGCAGAAAGGTCCACACTGAACATAATCATCCAGCCACTGCTCCTCCATCTCTGCCAGCTGCGCCTGCAGCTCCAGCTGTGGACATGGGGTCACGAGCTCTGGTACCGGCTGGGGAGGGTACAAGTCACAGTCTGCTGCCCCTCCATAGGAGAGCCTCATTGGGATGGACAGGGGCAGCGTCAGACTCTGCTCCAGTTTGGCTTTGACCAGAACTGGGAGCCTGCTGCCCCTGTGGGGCTTCACTGGCCGGTACTCCCACCCTCTCAGGAGGCTCAGCATCATAGGGAGCCCAGTGGGAGAGCTCTCTCCGGGCGGTTTATCCCATGGAGTGTCCCTTCTCACTGGAGCCTCCTCCAGTTCAGCTTCTTCTCTGTCTTTGGCGCCTGCAGCAGGGCAGGTGGTGTCGAGAGATTCTACAGACGACCCTGGGCTGGGAGCTGTCCGGTCACACGTGGTCTTATCAGTCTCTAGCCCAGCTGAAGTGGAATCACAGGTGACAGCTGTAGCCTCAGACCCTGCAGGGGCTCTGGTAGGGTCCTCGACCCCTGGAGTGGCTGCTGAGTAGCGGGTAGATGGGCCACAGGATGCACTCCTGCGCCCAAGCCTTCGAGGTACCTTACACACTGCCTCGTAGTCAGAATCAGCCACACGGAGTGCTGCACAACCCCTGCAGCGCCTTGGCTTCTGGCCAGAGAGGGAGTCTCCTCCTGGGCAATGGTGGGGGAGGTGGTGATGGTGCATGTGGTGGTCCAGGGCAGGGTCTGCTCTATCAGCCCAAGACTCATACACTGAGTAAACCAGATCATCCTGGATCATGTCAGAGTACCTCACATCCTGCAGGGCTGACAAATCCACCACAGGAGGGTCTTCAGACCCCACCTCAGTCCCAGCAGCCGCCACAACGGACCCGGGTGCAGCCATGCTCCCATCCTCTGTGTTGTTCTTCCGGTACAGACCGCTGATACACTGCCTCAGCCGGTCCTTCTCCAGCAGCAGCTTGTGCAGGCGCTCCAGAGACAGCGCCTCCACCCGGGCAATCACCGTGTCGAAGCGGTACATGCGGTCCAGCATGAAGGTGCACTTGGAGCAGGCGAACTCTCCACGGCCGTCTCTGGTCAGCTCTTGGCCCAGAGCGTGGGACAGCAGTACCTGCAGATTGAGCTTTGCCGCCGGGTGGAAGATCCATCTGCGCTGGTTGCCACAGAGCTCGCGGGCACAGATCCTGCACGCCTCCTTCATCTTCATCACATCCAGCATCACAGCTGCAGTGGGTTACTGATCAACAACACAGCAGCACTGTAAGGTCGGTGTCTCTGGCAGTATGTAAGATTTGCTTTAGGTTGCAGGATGAAATCACAGAGAAACTTTAAACTGCTGAACTTTTGCCAGGACTTCTGTGCAGGTGTGGTCCCACAGCTTTTTCATGGGTTCAGGAAAACCATCTCAACCATCCAAATCCAAAAACGTTGGGGACTCAGGTGCACTGATTTAAATCACACTTCCTATAGTTCCTATAGAACGTGGGTCCGTGTGGTTGTTTGTCTACATGTCAGCCCTGTGACAGACTGGTGACCTGTCCAGGGCGGACCCCGCCTCTCCCCCAGTGTCAGCTGGGATTGGCTCCAGTCCCCTCACGACCCTGTTCAGGAATAAGTGGTATAGATAATGGATGGATGGATGCAGCACCACCGTCCACGTTGTTCACAATCAGAAACACAAATCAGGTCGGGTCGTGACATGACAACGTGACCAGCAGCGGTGAAGATTTCCCCTCAGAGCGGATGTGAGTCTCTGTCACGGCTCCTTTTTCACTTCCTCGCTGGTAGAGCTGCAGTCACGCGCTGTCACATCGACCCGTGTGTGAATCCTGTCGTCTCATCCTCAGTGGCTGTAGAAACAGACCCCAGCCGTATTTTCTGGCTTTTAAATCAACGACGTTTCTGTAGGTGACAGCATCTCCCCGGTGCTGCCCTCGTCAGCATCCGACACGAACACGGAAAAACAACAACAGATCGCTCCTCACCGACGGTGTTGGTGGATTCACCGGCCTCTGTCCCGGTCCCGAACCCGGTTCCAGTCGCTGTCCACCGACAGAACACCGACAGCTGATCCTCAACTGCGCTTCCCTCCGCTGAGGATGGAGGGAGAGGCTGTCAGACGCGCGGCCGCGCTCACAGCGAGGCAGCGCTGATACACAGCGAAGATCGTCTGTTTGTGAGAAGATGCCTCACTCCGCAGCGCTGACTAGTACTGCGCCTTGGCTGAAGCCTAACGCACCGTGCCAACGTAATTTTTTGATTACTGCACATTCTTGGGAATATTTTACATGCAATATTATAATAACTATTATTATTATTGTTGTTGCTGTTATTATTATTTTGGTTGGTGGTTCAATTCCTGGTCTCCCCAGTCCACAGTGTCCCTGGGGAAAACACTGAACGATGACCAGGCAGCGACTGACAGTGTTGCCATCAGTAAGAAATTTCTCCATGGGGATTAATAAAGTTTTTTTTAAATTATCTAAGGGTTCCTTGAAAACAGTAACATCTGGAAAGTTGTGTGTGTGTGTGAAACACAATGAAATCAAGATGCTAAAAGTACTTTGATTTCCATTATGACCGATAAGGTCTCGCCCTTTTGTATACATATATGGATGTTCAATGCCAACTGGTGAAGCCTCTTGGATGAGAGGTGAAACATCTTCGTCCTAAAACCTAGTCCATTTGATTTTTTATGTTTTTTCAGCTCACGGATGTTCAATGTTCCTTTAGGCTATTTGTGGATAAAACTATGTCTGATCCAAACAGTGATTTCAAACATTAAAAAAAACACTGATACACAGCTGTGGGTCTACATTAAGAGAAGGCTCAGGCTTCTCATCAGTTTAACCTCTTTTATAAATAGTTTCCTGGCCAGCGACACCAGTGTAGGAGTGAGAGCTCTTGCAGCTGCCTGGACTGATCCACTTTCCTGGAAACAGGAGGATTTCTGAAACGTGCCCTCTGAAGTCAACAGTGACGTTTAATGTTATGCTTGTGGTGATGTTTTGTACCTGGTGAAACACTACATCACAGTTACTGTGATTTTTGCATCATACACCTGTTCACAGGTACTGTGTATTTTGTCTGCTTAATTAAAACCACTCATTCATTCTCATTGTGACTATGTAGTGAAATTCAGTTCATTTCTCTTTCCTTGTAGATCATTAATGTCAAAACATTTCATGAGCACTTTCCATTTCCATAAAGCCTTTTTGTGCCAGTAGAACAAAACAAGTCTGGGTGTTTTCCATCAGGTTCATTAAATTCTCTGAATTGTCAGCATAGACTGAGTTCATGCCTTTCCCAGGGGCACTCAGTCCCAGTCTGGCCTTCACATGCACCTCACAAAGAATGAGAGATGGGAGGGAGAGCAGGCCCTCATGTTATTTGAATTAGTGCCAGTGAATCAGATGATGCTTTCAGGACTGTGCTCTTGAAAAGCTGATGTCTTCACAGGGATCTTTTCATCACACGAGTCTTCATCACTTCTTTATTATCAGCAGGATGTGATGTGATGTGTTTCCCACTGTGCGTCTTTGTGTGCGGACCACCACAGGACTCTCTGCTGGCCCTCACTTTGTCTATTTGTCACCCTACAGGCCTCTGGAGACATGGCACCAAAACACTGATCGGTGGGAATGAGGCCCGCAATCAAAAACCAATTAATCCTAATCAGAGATAAGTGCCAAACACAGCTAACTGCCTGCGCCCGTGGTTTATTTTTCTCAAAGTGGCAGAAATACCAAAATGAGACAGGAGAGAATTAACAGGATGCAGACAGAGGAGGTGTCTCCGCTGAGTTTCTTTTCTCAAATATCTCAGAAGAAAAATCCTGCTGCAGCCGTCTCAGGAAGTGGGGAGACGGACGCTGCACAGCACTGCAGGTGTGAGCAGACTCTCTGATCGCTGCTGATGTGAGCGACCTGGGTCACACTGTGTGGACGAATATTAGAAAGAGAAAGATGAGCGGGGCGACATGAGGGCAGGACAGCCTCGACTGATGGGACCGAGGCTGGACCAAGGCTGGAAGACTACTACAGGGGCCCCGCAGCTTAAGGTTTAACAGGTTTTGCTACTGTCATTTTGAATGTAACACCCAATCACAAAATCAACATCTTAAATAAAAGAAATAACGTATTAGGAGTCAAAATAAAATAAATCCCCCCTCCCCCCCCACTGTGTATGCAGTGTAGCAGAGGTAACACCAGGTGGAGCTGCCTCTCCATGAACTATGAGGACGAATACTGTGAGTGCTCATCTTCCCTGCAGGCACAACCTCCTGTGGTGAACTGACCACCATCACAATCATACATACATCTCATTCATACACATTGTTAAGCGAATGTCTGTCCTACCTGCATCTGTGCATGGACCTGGTGCTCGTCATGACTCTGTGGGAAAAGGAGTCAACATATGTAAAATAATCTAAAATTAGCCTTTACTTCAGTGCAGCTCTTACAGGACTGAGATTCAAATTAATGAGTAAGTTGTATTTGATATGCTGTGTTTCAGTGGCAGCCCCCCCCCCCCCTCGTGTTGTGTGACTGAACCAGAGAAATATCAAGGGTTGTATCAGGTGACAAGGTCAGTGTTCACTAAAACCAAAAATAAATGATCCACAGTGGAGCTCAGGGTGGTGCTGGTGTCCCACTGAAGCAGTCCTCACCAGGCATATTCATGTTAGCCACAACATGCACCTGTTTCATCTCCATGGTGGTGTGCAACTCCTCTGCTCTGTCCAAGTTCCACTGACCCACATGTGGGGAAAAATGAGTAGAAAGTAACTGACTTGAAGACTAACTTTACTTATTTCTTAGTGCTTCTGAATGAGAATTCTCAGAATGTCAACAAAGACAGGCCCAGCTGTTCTGTAGCATGACACCCAAGAAGAGGCACATGTGTGCACGTGGTATGGATGGCTTGGTACAGGGTTGTAAATGCAGAAGGGCAAAAATACCTCAGCTCCCCATTCTTTGCTCTCGAGAGAAGTGCAAAGGCTGTGAACTTCGACCTCCAGCTCCTCGACCCGGAGACGCAGTGACTGTTTCTCCTGCGTCAACTCCTCGATCGCCCTGACAGAAAGAGGGAGAGAGAGAGCATACACAGTATCTAACTGCTGGGCTCAGTCACAGTATGTAGGTCACGACCCTGGCTCTTTGTTACACGAACATTTTTGACAAGTACAGTCGCTTGCAGGGCCAGCAGCGGTGTCAGAGCCAACATGGCTGCTGGGAAACAGCCAGTAGACGCCCTGCAAAGCAAGGATGCAGCTAAACTTCACCGAGTCCAAAGTGACTCTTCAAATTTCTTGGTTTGTCCAAACAACAGTCCAAAACTCAACTGACAATGATTTAAAACAGATAAAAGCTACAAATCCTCACATTTAAGAATCTGGATCCAGAATAAGGATTTTGGTTGACATCAAATTTGTTTTACAAGCTAACTGCATGACTGAAGCGTGAGCTGAAGTCACCTGTCTTTGTCAGCCAGGACCTGCTGGGTGAGCGGTCCACCTGAGCCTCCACTCGCCTCCAACCTCTCCACCATCTCTCTCTCCAGAGCCAGGCAGCGCTGGGCCTCAGAGTCCGCCAGCGAGGCCATTCTTTGAGCCTCCTCTCGCGCCAGCTCGGCCTCCTGAGTACAGACACACCACAGGTCCACCAAACCGATAAGCAAACGTTCAGAGAGGGTGTCTGTCATCTTGTTTAAAGGATCCCTGGAGTTAACAGTCCTATAAGGTCCATCAGTGAGTGATTATGTGTGAGTCTGTACCTCTTGTAGCAGCTGAACTTTGGTTTCCAGGATTTCTTGCATATGGCTGATCTCCTCCTGTCGCTCTGCAAGGCGACGCTGCATCTCTGCCTCATTCTGATCGGAGAGGGTATCTGCCATTAACCTATGAGGTTGAAGTTTGTGGAGAATAATTGTTGTAATCACATAAAATGCATAGGTAAGCATAAAACATCTGGTCCTGAAACATTAGACAAGTTAACACTTATCTAACAGTGACTCATGTCTTATGAAAAACATCATGCTCACAAGGTCAGAAGGTGCTGCTCCCTACAGAGTCAGATGCATCAGTGCACTCAGATCATCAAGTTTTATAGCGATTACATCTTCAGTTGGCCTTGGTTTTATCACTGAGTTGTCATGGTAACAAAGATGTGCAAAAATGTTTTGTTACTGCTAAAGCAAAATGTCGTCACTTCTCAAATAAACCAAACTAGAAGGAACTCTCAGTGAAATCCTTCATTTTTAATGACTTAAATTATAGAAAATGTATAAAAACTGTTTAATTTGTAAAGTTATGTTATGTCATGAACTATTTTTTGTTAGTAGATACCAGTCTAAACATCAGCCCGACTTTAAACATGTTGCATTTGCTGTGTGCAGCAGCAGGCCTTGTGCATGTGGCCCCACCCACTCTGTAAAATCTAAAAATGGCCCCATAGTAATGATGCTGGATCCAGCCTACAAACTTGTTTCTGGGTCCATAATCTAACTTTGTTTGCACCGTGTGTGAAGTTTCCTTTAACATGCTGCTGAACAGCAACGACTAAAGTGGAGCAGAAGACACACGCTTGTTGGCAGAGGCACTAAAAAGCTAAAGCGGGATGAACACGAGGACAGAAAACATGGACTCCAGAGGGAAATGTCTCCTGCCCCCCTCTGAGCGAGGTGGGCTGGAGGTTATTACGGTCTGTCACTGCTCCACCACTCAACGGCTCCAGCAGCCAGGAGGCCCCACTCAGCTTCACCTCCTCACATCTATCAGTCAGGCTCTGTTAATGCCTGTAATGATAAACTGTGGACAGAGTAATATTTTTGAAGCGGGGCACAGACAGAGAGAGAGTGAACACCTCAGCACTGATCCCGCACGTGCACACGCTAGCGTGCACATAGTGACCCGTTGTGGTACAGAACCATGCTCGTGCTCCCTGTCTGGTTAACACTGTATGCTATGGGTTGCTTGCATTGCACACGCCCTGCTCTTCATGCCAAGATATTTCCTGGTGATTTTACACATTGTTTCAACAGTGAATCCAACATCTGGCTGAGGGACAGCAGCTGACAATAAGCCTTGTAGCTAACACTGGCACATCTACAGGACAGCGGTTAAGGTGGGTTGTCCTTGTATGAAGAAAGAAAATCCACCTCACTGTAAAGACTGTAGCTACCATGGATGGATGGATGGGTGAATGGATGAATAGATGAATAGAAAACTCCAATCTGCTGATTATTGATGACAATGGCTGAACTTTCTTTCTTCAGGAGTCGACTACTAACTGTGGATTACTAACCCATTTGTCTTACTGATATTAAGTTTCAGAAAGTTATTTGGTCCTCAGCGTTTGTTAGGAAACCAACCAGCAGAATCTTCAGAAAACTTCTGGCTGAGAAAGTTTTGCTTCTCAGACATTTTTAGAACAATCAGTTATAAAAAGTGGCAGATCCAGGGTAAGAGAAGCTGATCCACAGAGAGGCCACAGCTGCCTCACAGACAGGTGCTGGGGCTCAAGTAGTTCCCGACTCAGCAACACAACCAACGCCGAGGCAGCTCTACTCTCTCCTGTCCCTGCTCTCTCTGCTATCACACAACACAGAGACTTCATCCTCTTCAAAAGCATTTCATACATGGCATTCCTCAGAGCTTAGTCCATGCTGTAATAGCTAGCTGAGTGAACAGAGCAGCAGGCTGTCGAGTCCCGAGGGTGGCCGGCTCTGATGGACTCATGGGAATTAATCAAACACCCAATCAAAAGGTGTTTCTGTACTTCTCAGGCAGGTTTCAACAAATCTGTGCAGCGCGAGCAGCTGGAGATCTGAAACCACCTCTGGATGTATTTGTAGACTGGTCTAGAGATTTAATATACTGTGGGTGTATGAGTGGTGAAGGAGACATGTAGAGGCTCAGTGCCCGGGGACTCTCGGAGCAACACGATGTTGGTCATCGGCTGTGTAAAGAACCAGAAAGTCAAAAAACTCACAGTGCTTTTTCCAGAAGCTGCTGTTTGTCCTCAAGCTCTTTCTTCAGACTCTCCACTGCAACCTTCAGCTCAATGTCCTGCAATTGAGATTCATTAAACAAAACAATAAGAAGTTGCTTTGAAAAAGTAAGATTACTTAAAAAAATTAGACGCATCTTTGTTCAGGGACTGGTGCTGCAGATACTAAGTCAAATGGCATGAATGTACAGTATAAATCTTCAGCAGTCAGATTGTAGAGCTAATAACAAGATTTGACAAAGTCATATATCAATGGCACATTTTCAAAACAACTTTGGCAATTACTTATGGTACATATAAATTAGACCATTTTCAGGCTTTAGGTCACACTGACCAACACACCTTTAAACCTGATGGTTTAAAGACAGCCAGGTATAAACAGAATAATGCCCCCCCAATGCATTCCACTATAGGACACACTTGAAATGAACTCAGCAGAGGAACCACTTGTTTTCTGATTTTATGTCATGCAAAGCCTAAACCAACACATGGCCAGTGTCATCTAACACATCCTTAAGCAGAAAAGTTTTTTCTAATGGAGTTCTGCACAGTGTTGCAGGGGCTGTTCACAACACAAGATAAGTTTTCAAAGTCCCACGTGCTGACCTGCATCTATGTGAAGCCACTAGGTCTATAAATAGCCAGCACCTGCTGTATCCGTCTCCAGACATGGTCCGGTCTAACATCCACCGCTCTACCCCCAGCAACAGCTCCAGGTTTAACCTCTGGCAGAGCAGAAACAAACTGGGCTGAACTGGCCATCAGTGGCTCACGTGCAGGTATGTGCCCACACTGCTGAACGATCTGGAGTTAGTTCAGAGCTCCTGCAGTGAACTTCATGTCCATGTGCACCAGCTCAGGATACTGACACACTGACACACAACACAGGTGCACACAGTGTTGCTGCTTACACCATAAGGTCATGAGAACTCCTGCATCACGTACTATATACTGTACATGCATTTGCACAGCAAATGAAATCAAACCCGTGGAGAGTGTGCACAGTATGCACACATGCATTCAAACAGTGGGCCTGGAGGCTCTGGGGCTAACATAGCGTGGTTCACTGGGTGTATGGTAGGCAACGGAAACCAGGTCAGACAGTTAGTGTGGGGGCAGTAAAACACCCCCTGTCTCAGCAGTCATGTGGGTCTATTTACATCCACTGTGTGTATCTGTCATCTGTCCTGATGCACAGGACAGTAAACAGGAGCAGGTGAATTTCAACTGGCTTTCACCCAGGTTTTATGTTCTCGTGAGTCAGAGTCTTTCCTTCTGTAAAAACTGTGCTGAGCAGTAAACGGGGTCGTCTGGGTCGAGGCCACCTCTCAATAGACTTCCATTTAGGGAAAATTAAAAGAAAACTGGGAAATCATGCTGTATTTCAATCAGGGTGGCCCAAAATCAATGTGAAAATAAAAACAGAAAAATGATAAAACCACAGAATGTTTGTGCTGCAGAACAGTTCTGCTGTTTAACACTGCTGTCAGGATGAGTTCCTGTCAAACACAAACCTGCAGCTCTGAACACAACAAGCACTACAGTCATGCTTCAAGTGAATAATCTCCTGCAAGTGTCTGAGTCTGTTCATTCAGAGACGACTTTAGTGACTCACCCTTCTGTGCACATCGTCGCTGCTCTCCTCAAACTTCTGCTGGATCTTCTCTTCCAGGAAGTAGATCCTGAGCTTCAGGCTGAAGTTCTCCCTCTTCAGGTCATTCAGGTGCTGCGACATAGTGCGGTAACCACGGAAACCAGAGTTAGACATGATGACAGGTGACTCTTTTGTAGGGGGCATTGCAGCCCCCCATCTAACACAGCATAATATGTGAAAAGACAGGGCTGAAAAGAAGCAGAGCGTCTGACTGAGGAATCAAACTATCAGTGATACAGTAAACCAGGTCTCTGTTGGGTCCTGCTGACACACATCAACAGGCAGGAAGAAAAACAGAGGTCACAAAGTAAAGTGTCCGTGAGCCTCGGTCTGTGTGGAATACAGGAGGGTCAGGGATGGCATACAGGCAGGCAGGATGGGATTATGGGAGCTGGGAGGGGGCAAGGGAGGTTTCCTTTTTTACCATGAGGAAGTCATGCCAAGAATCTGAGGCAGGAGTGTGTGTGTGTGTGTGTGTGTGTGTGTTGATAAAAAGTGCTGAACTGCTGTAGAAGCCTCTTAACATCCAGACACATACAGTAAACGTGTGGAGACCTAATCAGTGTATGTTTTTACTATGTCAGGTTGGCTGGCATGAGATCTAAAGAGATTGTCCTCATTAAGACGATGGCATTGGTCATTTTTGAAACACCTTAAACAACCAGTAAGAATGTGTTCCTGACAAATGACCTCTTCTGGTTGTGCAAACACTGGCTGCTGTCGCCCAAAAGCAAAGGCAGACAGAATGTGGTGTTATACTGCTGCAAAGTAAATGGCTGGCTGCTCGTTATGGGCATGTGCATCCCACTGACACTCGACAACAGTTTCTTTAAACCGTGACCATAATTTTCCTTGAACTGAACTGAACTGTCTCTTTATTGTCATTGTGCAAGGTACAACAACAAGACTGAAATACAATCCTTCAAAGTGCAGATCTTCCAAGGAGGGGAGAGGGCAGCTGATAATCTTTTGGGCCGTGACGATGACCCTCTGGAAAGACTCTTTATCTGTAGCTGTGCAGCTGGAAAACCACGCCCAGATGCAGTAGGTCAGAATGCTCTCTATGGAGCGTTTCCGTGGTAGACAGTTCTTCCTGACTATTCTCAGGAAATAGTCTGTGAAGTGCTGTGCCTTCTTAACAATGGCACTCCAGGACAGGTCATCCTCTGTGTGGACGCCCAAAAACCGAAAATCTGAGACCCTCTCCATGCAGCCCCTGCCAGTGAATGGGGGCTGGATGGCTGGTTTTTATTTCATCTTATCAGCTCCTCTGTCTTTGTGGTGACAGCTGCTCCACCTCCACCGGTAGGTGGACCATTCCCTCCAGAGATGAGCTAAATCGAGGCAGGAATATACAGCTAGAAAACGAGTAAGGAAGCACAGGGAGAAGGTAAGGACCTGGTCAGACAGCCACAACTGGCCTTTGACTGATGGAAAACTGCATAGTTTACACTTCAAAAGAAGTCTGAAAAATAAATTAGAAAAAACTCTGAATGAACTTACATTAAACACCAAAGCGTGCATGTCCACTGTGAGTCATACTGGTGGAAGAAGGAGCTGTGGGACTCCAGCTGATGACTCAGTAAAACTCTGGTTTTGTTATTTGCAGGTTGAGGACATCTAGACGTCTTGTTTAAAGCAGACGTCTAGATGACACTTTAAATGAGCCTAACTGTACTTTGAAATATATATATAAAAGAACAATGTTTTTATGTAACCCAGATGCCTTAAAACCTTTCACTGTTCAGCTAACTCTGACATGTTTTAACCTACAGAAGGCAGGGAAGCTCCTTTACTGTGCATTCAGAGAATTCAAGTTGGAAACTTCTTCCAGACCAGTTCATTCAGTTAAGAGCCCCCCCGATAAAAGAAAGTTTTCACCCGAGCAGAAAAAGCCAACGCTGTGCAATGAGACTGCTCTGACCACAGAGAGGCACCAACACTTCACCTGCGCTCAGAGAATCCACGCTTTCTGCAGCTCTCAGGGAGAACTGCAGCCGTCCAGGAGCTATTTAAAGGCGCTGGCGCCTTACGGCTGTCACTGAGGAATGTTGCACTGGGAGACGCTCATCACACATGCAGGGCCGTCCGATGTGCTGGCACGCACTGCGACACTGACTGACTGCAGATTCCAGCTGTACATGAGCATTCGGTTGAATGCAGGAACACATGCTGTATTCACAATCCACACATACATGCAGAGCAGCCCAGATACAAAACATATGAAGATATGTATATGAGGTATATGAAGATAGTTTAAATATGGAGCAGACTGCAGAATTACAGACACAAAAACACACTGTAAGAAGCAAATATGGAATACGTTCTTCATGGGACCCTGAGCATTTCAGCTCACTGTGTACTCTGTGGTTGTTTCCCCTGTTGAGCACAAGTAACACATTTTTTGTGTTTCCTCTAGAAGCTCCGTTTGTGTGACACGGACACATACTGCAAAGTTATAACTGTGGATCTGTGTAAAATAACCACACATCTGCTTCTCATAGGGCCCGTGTCCATCAATAAAGCAATGATAGCTGTCATTTTCCTTGTGGTTTTTTTCTTCCATCATTTCATGTGATATCCCAACATAAATTACAGCTCAGACATGGAAACAAAAACTGTTGAAAAGTGAGGATTTAAATCTAGTAACCTGGCTACACTGGCGTCTTCAGACAGACAAACTACAGGATTGCGTTGTGTAGAGCCTTGTCTTGCGAAATGAGCTAGGAACCTTTTACAAGCAACTTAACGCTCTGTTTTTACCTAATTTCTCAAACTCATCTTTGAATCCATTTGGCCCAGCACTGCTGGATTTTCTCTAGAACTGCTGTTGTAATAAACACTGGAGCCTGAAATAACTGATGGCATAATGAAGTAGATGTAATTTACCCACACATGGCAGAATTAAGTTGCTCTTTAGCAGTTATGACATGTTCTGTTTGACATAAAAGGCCCAAATACTTCTGATTTGCAATTAGAAGTGAAGCAGCCAGATGATTTTCATGATCAAAGAGCAGGTAACTCTCTAGAGGAATCACTCATACTAAATGCAGTAAATGTTCATCACCATTTCCCAGAATCCAAGGTGGCACCTTCACATGTCCTGCTTTGTTCGACCAACAGAACAAACCACAGATGTTCAGTTTACACAAAATGAAACAGAAATAGCACCAGATCCTGATAACTGACGAGCTGGAACCAAAGATAGTTTGACACTTCTGCTTGAGAAATGACTTCAACTGATTGGCCGTGAAAGCTGCTGGTCCTGCTGGGTTGTTTCTGTGCTCACATTATTCTTACTTTCTAACTGCATACCTAAGGGAAGCAGTGGCACACTGCACCCCAGGGTGCCCTGCCAGAGGACCCGATGGCCTGACACTGCACAAACACAGACATTATTTATACATGTGCACATTTGTAAGTTGTCGGAGCAGTTCCTCATGTGCTCCTCAGAAACACCATGTATTCAAAACAATGTAAATTCAAGCCCATCAACACCCCGGTGTGAACTGGAACCGGTCCTCAGAAACCCTATCAGGAAGCAGCACTGGCTCACCAGTGAATACATCATCCACCACAGCTATGTGTCAATAACCGATACACCAGAGGAGAGAGAGTGACGCAGAAACGTTTCACAACAAGCTCCTCTGACAGAGTTTGAAAATAATAATTCCACAAATGAATCAGGAGACATTTCTGGGTTGTCATCTGCATTGGGAGGTGATGAACGACTGAAGTAGACACACACACACACACACACACACACTAGTGACAGTTCATCATCTACACTAAAAACTGAAGCCCAGTCTGGAGAAGAGAGGCCGACCACAGCGGCTCATCCAGAGGTCATGCCGAGAGACGGCTGAATTTATTACAACACAACATGACTGTGAAATGAAATCATCCCAATTCTGCAGGAGTTTTCCAGCATCAGAGCACAATCCAATACCAGAAAAGAAGGACAAAAGGAGCATGAGAACATTTTTCCAGGCTCTGGCTGCTCTAACTTCTACCCTGCTGCGTCTTGTTACTTGGGAACAGACTCCGATCTCGTTATTAGAATCAGAAAGTATTAAAACCTGAAATATTAAGGCACAAATGAGGATCCACATCAGATATTTTCCATGACTCTTTCTGCCTTTTTGTCCATTCATACGCACCATACAGTTTAATAACCTCGGCCTTCTGCTTCAGATTCATGTCGCAATGGTTTAAAAACCAACTCTGCAGGAATAAGAGTGTAATTTGGAGTTCGCATGTGAGTGTGTGTGTGCTCTGGATTGGCAGAGCTCTGGGAGTTTTCCCCTTTTACCGGTAACAGGAGCTCCTTGATGCCAGCTAGCTCGACATTTTCCAGGCCTGCTCTCTGGCAGTGCCAAGTCCCTAATGAAATTCTGCAGGGGGAATGTCTGATTGTGTTTATTGTGCTGCTACGGACCACAGTAGACCGGGTGGTTAAAAATTATAATTTGTAAATTTAATTAAATTGTCAAGAGAGCCACTAAAAATATCCCCAGGAGCTCATTAAAATCACAGACACAAGAAGGAGCACTAATGCACTGAACACACTAAAGAATCCAGAGGCTCCAGTATAGTTTCTTACATACAATGTCAAGTCAGGTCATCTTGGAATATACTGCTGTATAGTGACTTGGGAAACCAGCTTATTTGCTTGTTTCCCAGACTGAGACAAAGATTAATATCCATCTCATCTCTGTGTGTTAAGTACGGAGCTGGAGTCAGGTTGTGGTTAGCTTAGCTTAGCATGGGACTGGAGGCACAGGGAAACCACTAGCCTGCCTCTATCCAAAGTTAAAAAACAAGCCTGACAACAGCTCTAATGTTCACTGGCTAACATGCTGTATCTTGTTTAAGTGAGACCTCAAAGGAAATGTAACTAGAATTAATAACTTCACGGTTGTGTGCCTCTGCCAACCAGTCAAATTCACGGGAATGTGTTAGACATGACACATGACCACGAAAATCTATTCAGTTCATCCTTGATCCAAGTGGAAGTCCGTGCCGAATTAGAAGAAATTCCCTCAGAGCGATCCTAAGATATCATTTTCAGAAAAATGGGGTGGACGGACAGACGACCTGCAAACATAAGCCTCCAGGCGCGGCTGTCACAGTCACAAGGGCATAGGCGTGTGGGGAAGCTG